AACATATCTATCACAGTATAGCTACAGCAAATAAAATTGCAGCATGAAATGCTCATCTCATTGGATATTTGTCTTAAAGATGTTTAAAAATAATCAAACAAGAGTAGCGTATGCCCATGGGTGAAAGTACTAGCTGACAGCTGAGGTACCTTAGATGTTCCAAGTAAGGAGCCAATTTCATCCAATGATGCAGGCCAAGGTCTACAGGTACCCAACATAGAAAGGAATCAAATTTGGATTAATTTTATTTTGTGATTCAAAGAAAATGACTGCTTTAATATTCAAACAGCAGAGCCTCATTGTCACTTTCAAAATAGAGATGCAGACAAATGAATTGAAGCTGCTCACCTATCACGTTATAGTTTCTCTACGATTCAACAACTGATGAAAAGACTATTATAAATACTTGAAGAGACTACAAAAAGTATAAAGAACTTTATACAAAGATTTGAAACACTTAGTTACTAATTTCAATTAGTTTTCGGGAAAAAAAACACTGAAAAATATTATAATAGATGTCAGAAAGATGCTACTGCTGTTATCATAGTTTAATCCTCAGAATGCATTGCAAATCATTAAGGAGCCTTGTCATCGATTTAGGTTTAGGAAGATAACAAACAACTTTTTTAATTATGATATAATTCTTTGCAGTCGGAATTTGGCAAACTATTGAATTGATAATCATGCTTGTGCAATAATAATTGCACTAGCAAGCATCCCAAGTGGACAACCAATGCTTACTGGGACAGCACGGTTTTGGTAGTTTGGTTGCTATTGTCTCTCAAAAGTATCAGTAATTTCTAAACGGTGAAATTGTTGTAGAAAATATGCCCACACTCTATTCAAAAAACAAAGCGTGAGAGGGCTTTGAAAGCTCACCATCCAAAATGCTGTGAGCAGGGAATACTTGCAGTTGCTTTGGATTGCTTTCATTTCTGCACGAAAAGTCTTTTGGACACAGAATCTGCATATTTCTTTCTCGAGCAAGTTGAACAATATGTAGAGCTTCATTACACGCCTTAAGCTCCACCAGATCAAGAGGAACTGAGACTCCCAATGCATGCATTATTTGAAATGAAATCATTCCAACAAACACCAACGCCTGGCATCTGGATGTTAAAAATCGCAAAGCAGCTGCTTTATTGTGGAAATCACTACCTCCTATCTGGATTTATGAGAAAGAAGAGACTAATATCATCAATATGAACTTTAAATCATTGTATGGTGTTGATAAGTCTAATGACTAATTCTGTCACAGCAGAAGAGACATACAATTGCAACATAGGGTTTCTTGGTGGCATCTGTAACCTTCTTCAGTTGATATAAGCTTTCCTCAAAGTGAAAACCAGCCATACAGGCATAGCAGAAGCGAGTCACGCCAACTGTTGATGCTAGAACTTTATGAGAGTGAGAGAAGGAATCATTAACAAAGATATCAACTCCTGATGACAGTTCTTTAGCAAACTCCAAACAATTGGAAACTTCCTCTTTAAATTTAGAAAGATTCTCAGCAAGAAGGATATCTGGTTCTCGGTGCCTTCAATCTTCGATAGCTTATTACACGATATCTTTTGCAGTGGAACAATTTGTATCTGAAGAACTTCTGACAAGAAATCTGAAGTATAGAAATCATCATCAATTATCTACTATGGAAGTTCCTTCTTTATAAAAGAAACCATTTCTTATTTCCAACACCCATGTTAATAATTTACTGATTTTCTTCCATCTTACTTTTCATTAGATAAAGGAGGATTGTTTAATTATTTATTAAATAGCCTAACTCCATTCTGGCAACTAAAATAAGGGTAGAATGTAATTATGTACCAGCAACGGACTCTGTACGAGAAAGTTCTGAATCAGTATCCCAATCACTGACCAGAATTACTTTTGCCCCAGCTTCATGTAAATACTTAATTGTTTGCAACGCATTAGAAACTGATGGAGTCGGTTGTTCGTGCTGCTTGATGAAAATGTTAGAGTCAAATCTGACCATGACAACTTTTGCAGAGAGTTCTTCCTTGGGAAATTCTCTAAGAGCTTGTACATGAGGAAAGGCATTCAACTCCCCACCGTTATGAGTGTAAATCTGACAGCAAAAACATAAAATGCTTATGTCAAAAGAAAAGGAAAATCTAGAGCCAAAAAGTAAAACATTCATTCATGAAACAAAGTCACGAAGAAAGAAGTCAACATTCTTCAGCATCACAAATATTCAAAATAACTACAAACTATGCAATCAGGGACGTAAGATATTAGTCTGAATGATGCTTTACTTTCACAATCTAATAGGAAAAAGAGCATATATTTCGACTTTTGTGCCAATGACCATTAATTTCAATTGCATTCTCTTCTGGATACATTAGGATAATGATAGATCACGTTAAGGAGTGCATAAATGCCCAAATCTCATCTAAACTTAAAAGAAATGGCTATAGTTGCCACAATGCCACTCATAAGTTCTTAATTCCCATTATTTTGCTTCTGATAGTTTCAACTTTAAACAATCAAATAACTATAGATGTTAAGTAAATAGGCTAAAAGCATAATAAATCCTCAATCATTTTGTTCCTTTATAAATTAAAAAAAAAATGATCATGTAATCATTCTAGCTCGAGGATAACTTGGAACTTCAGGCAGAATGTCTTTCGAGATTAAGAGAAGTCTGGATAGTTCAGATTAGCAGGTAGGATTAGAAAGACAAGATAGGAATTTATAGCCCAACCTTTCGAAACGTCAGAACACAATGCTGGAGCACAAAAGGGAGGAAGAGAGTACATTACCCTGTGGTTAATAGAACTCTTGGCATGACCTGCTAACTCCCCGCTAACTGTCACAAATAACATCACATAATACCCAAAAAAAAAAAAAAGAGATGACAACAGAGAGGTCATTCAAAAGGAAAGAGGGGGAAAAAAAAAAAACTCACTTTTTATAGAATAACCTTGTAAAGCCAGTAGAGCGCCATTGCGCATGCGAAACTTGGCAAGTTTTCCAGTGTAAGAACATCTCTTATGTTGGAGCCACTCGGGGCCGTCATGGATGCTTAATTTGTCCAAAGAGACTGTTCCATGGAGTATATTCAGAATATAGCCCATAAAGCTCCGAATATCGTCTTGCAAGCTTCACGAGCTTTAAGGATACCCCCCTAACGAAATGAAAGTATGGTAGAGACGCTGAGGGTTGCCAACAATATTATTAACAGCCAAAATGAATATCGGGTAGCGGGCAGTCACGTGTCTACTTTCCTTCTTCTCTGCGTTTTCCGAATATCAGGAAAAATGTAGCAGGAGATTCAACTCGCCTCTTCACCGGGAGTTCTGCACTTGATGCTCCTTCCACCGCACTGGTGCCAAAGACACCGCGGAAGACCACGCGCGGTGAGGAAACGACTGTCGCTTAAATAAAGCAAGGTGAGATTTTTAATTGTCAATATATTACAAGAATAATGATCATTCTTCCTTGTCTGTATAGTACAAGATTTCACCAAAAATAAATTATTTTCATTGCTTTTATGACCTTCTTTTAATCAAACTTTTATGGCATTATTTACCCACAAGCACAAAATAGCAGGCATACAGATTATTACATGTTCATATCTAATTTTATAGATTATAGATATCACCAAATAAAAGTAATAACAGCCCAGCATAAATAAGGTAGCAAGTAACGACTGTATGTTGTGGCCTAATAACAGTTATTTATTCATTGAGCGCGCAAAAGAGGAACACAAATTTATTGAATAAATTTCGTTTAAAAAAATATTTTGAATCTAGATCCACTATTCATCAAGGTCAAACAAAAAGTCTAGATCCCCCATTTATCCGAATTTTTAATGAGAAAATGACAAAAAAATTGAAAATTTATAAATATCAAATAAAAAATGGTAACAAAAATTATTATTATTTACAAATTCAGTGTTATCAACGTCAAATAAAATGTTATTACTAAACCTGTTTTAAGATTTAATAATTTTCAGTTTTTTTTTATATCATTCTTCCATTTTTAATTGGTTTTTTTAGATATTTAATTTTGAATAAGAAATGACAAACGCATGACCGAATCGGGAGTAAAATTGAAATTGGCAGTTACACGGTGCTAGTGCTGCGAATTGGCGCTTGCTTAGGGCTTCAGTTGCAAATCGGCGAAGACAGTCCCTGCTTCTTCGACGGTCTGCGACCGCGATTCACCAATCTCTAAATTGGCGAACTCTCTGTAATCTTCACCGTGTGAAGCACCGAAGGATCTTCTGAAATTATGGGCTTAGGTTTCGCTATCGGCGTCTTCGGGTTGCTTATTCTATTTCACGCTGCTTATGCCACAATCCAATGTATGCTTTAGGACACGTGGTTTTATCTAGTTAGGCAATTAGTCATTCTTATATATGCGCTTTGCTTTTTGTAAATTTCAATGGGTTGGTAAAAATATTGGGATTTGCGCATGCATATGTGATTTGGGTTTGATTTTACAGATAGGGGTTTGTTGAAGATTACGGAGGAAGAGTTTTCCGGACCCCAATGAATGTGAGTGTTTTCCATGATATTGCTTTAAGAACATGGTTTTGATGGATGTCCGCGGGTCTCATTGTCCATGCATCTGGAATTTTGAATGCATGCAGGTGGTTGTTGAGTTGTTGCTGGGACTAGTGCTCTGTATGTGGGCTGCACTGGCTGTGCCGGGGAAGTTTCTGTCTATCCATCCAGACTCCGAAGAGAACAGGTAACTCCTTGATTCTCTATCTGGATGATAGATCTACTTAAATTTATCATTTTAGTTAAATTAATTACCTCATCTTACTGATAAAACGTTAGCAAGAGGTCATTGTAAACGTGGCCTGACATTGGGAATGATTCCGTGTTGATTTCTGAGGCTTGAGCTATAAACTTGACGTAAATTGCTCTTGTTCCGTACTGTTCGTGCTCTTTTATGATCGGTCTTCCTTGATTAACTTATGTTGCTAGTCATTCTGTATTAGGCTTTACTTGGCTGAGAAGGATCAAACCATTAAAGGAGTGGGAATAGAAACACATCAAAGTTAGTAGGAATGACAATAGAGGTCAATTAAACTGAAAAATCTAACTTCAAATAGTGATATATTTAAGTTTTGTTATAGATTGTGAAGCTGAGTTGCTCTTATTCTACACTACTCTTATAACCATTGTCTTGCTCTGTTAGTCCCTTGTTACTGTCGCTTTAATTCATCAATGGTTGATGCAAGTGACCGATGATGTGATGCTATATATGAGGGAGTGCATAATTACTTCAACACCTCTATCTGTTGTCAAAGGAATGTTCTGTTTGGAAAACTTGTTGCTTTCCTTAGTTGTGCTCTACTGACGATATCTTTTTCTTTATGACTGCTGGGATCATAATCATTAGAGCATCTGTCTTCTTGGATGCATGTTTGTTCCTTCTCCTCTTCATTTCTATACGATTGTCCGTTGCCAAAGGAATGTTCTGTTTGGATCAAACTTGTTTTCTGTTGTGTTGTACTCATACTTACGTGACAGAACTTCATGGTATAATATTTTTTTGAATCTGCTGGCATCATTTTTGGCCATGAAATTACTTGGATCATAATCATTAGCGCAAGAGTGTTTATCGGATGCAGGATTGTTTCTTTACCTGCCAACCTGGATTTCATGATCTTCAACCATAGAGGGAAGGTATTTCCTATGGACATGGATGTGAAGCTGAGGCATTGAAGAATTTTGGACCAAGCAAGAACCTTCATCTTGTCATATGAAGAAGAAAAACCTCGTTTACACTTTCAAAACATTTGGTTGTGCGTTGGGAAATCTTCCTATGTCACTCGCTATTTATCACTGACTTGAGAGATTTTGCAGTTTTCATTGTAGCTTCAAGCTAAAATTTCTGCACTGCGCACTCATCGTTGTTATTGTGACACAATTATTTGAACTGTTCATGAAAATTTAGCCTGCATTTTAACCATACACGATTTAATGAAGTGGACTAAGTTTATTATGTGATTGTCTGAAAAGAAATCAACTGGCCCACCTATCTGGAGGCAACACTGCGTGTCCTTTGTGTGGTTCAAACAAAGGTTTCATTACTTCCTCTCCGCGGCGTCTGCCTGCGTTATATACTCTGACTTTTTTCGATGGTTTACTTGGCATTCAATGGCTTTTAAACGGCATGCTTCCATTGACTTCCTACTGGTCTATGGAGTTCTGGAAACCAAAATGAGAACAGTTAGCGGAAGCAAGCTTGTCAACGTTCTGAAAAGTTGCTTGGAATATTTCCAAACAATTAAATCAAAAGAGTAAATATTTCTTAATTTCTTCAGGTCCCTCGCGATGGGGTTAATGATTTCTTGTGATGGGGGTTTCAAGTATCACTTTGGATGAGGCGACGAAACTGTGCCTCCCTCCATCGTGCCTCTCACATAAAGACTGGTCAAACGTTGTGAAGATGCCTAATAACGGCCCGAGGGTGTGGTGGGAACCTTTTGTCCTTTCTTAGCCTTGTAGTTACCAACCAGTCTGTAATTTTATTTTAATGAAAAAGGATAAAAAGTAAAGACAATGGGGTTTTTTTTGCCACCAAAGCGATTGTTTGAAATTACGATTGAGATTCCCAATAACCCTCTTTGATGCATTTCAAAGCAATTTTTCTTACATACCTGTCTTTGGTAAATTGTGATTAAAAAATTGTTTTCAAAAAATTTTACCGCCATTTCAAATAAACCTGAAATTGATTCGGTGAAATGATGTAACAAAACTTACTTTCAATCAATGTTTGATATGATCCAATGATAATCAATTTTTCGGTCGGTAAAAATGATCATTTTTATCTTTATACTTAAATTTAACTTAACAAATTGGCTCTTCATGTTCACGAAGAGATAAATTCATCCTGAGCTGAATTCGCCACTTCAATAACAAAAATAACGAGTAATAAATTAACCGAATTACGACACTGCGAAGTTTTGTGGCGGGGAAAAGAACGACTTGGACGAACTACGAAGCCGAGCCCTGCCAATGCGCGATGATTATCCTCGGATCACTGCAAGCGTGGCTCTAGTGGCGAAGGAAAATGATCGCGAATCTTCATTTACCTTCCTCTCTATCTCTCACTATCCCCTCGCCAACGAAGTCGCGTACTGTTCGGACGTTATCCAAGACGGTGTCGTCTCGTCTCTCTCTCCGACCTTCTGTATTACCAATATCAGCCGGCCCCAGGGGATGCATTGCCGAAATTCATTCGAAATCTTTAAATTTTGTGCTGTCAGGAGCCCTCGCACTCGGATTATTTCTCGGAGGTAAACTTTTTGTTTCTTTACTCCACATTCAGTTATGTGATTTCGTGCAGTTATCTGTCTCGCATTTTTTAACTCGGTCTGTCAATTGATTTCCCTCCTTTGATACTGAATAAATTGTAAAACTCAAATATAAAAAATGTAAATTTGGTAGGAATTGGACTGGCTGAGGCAAAAGTTGGCGTGAACAAGCCAGAGTTGCTCCCTAAGGAGTTTAGTACTGTCATTGATGTTGCCGGCTTCCTCTCTGATGGCCAGGTATGGCATGCCCCCATTAGAAGCTCGGTACTCTTACACATATTTTAAGCTCAGGATTTGGAGTCTGTTTCGTCTATTGTGTCCATATCTGGTTTTCCCCCCTTGCTTTTGAGAAAATCAAAATGAACCTATAAGGAATGATGCTTCCATGAAATAGATAAGCAGTAGTGTTATTCGTTTTTTTCATAGGAAAAGAGACTGGCTCAAGAGATAGCTTCTCTTGAAAAGGATACAGGATTCAAGTTGAGAGTTTTGGCTCAAAACTACCCTGAAACACCAGGTACTGTGAGGTCATCACAAATTTTGCCTTATAGAACTTGGTGCATTAGAATTCACCCCCCCCCCCAAAACCCCAAAAAAAAAAAAAAAGATTCTGCGATTACTTAATTGCAGAACCAAGCTTGATAGTGAAACCGCCCATTTATTTTAATGCACAGGCTTGGCAATTAAAGACTTTTGGCAGGTGGATGACAGAACTATTGTCTTTGTGGCTGATCCCACATTTGGTAAAAGATCAAACACACTTGTTTTATTGTCATGGTTGCTCGTTCTTTCTGGTTATTCTTTTCCTCTTCTTTTGGGTATATCTACCTTCACAAGTACTACTATTATAATGAGACCCTTGTTTGCCAGGGAATATATTGAATTTCAATGTTGGCGCTACAGTAGATTTGGACATCCCTCGTAGTTTTTGGAGCCGCTTAGCTGGCACGTATGGCAACATCTTCTATTGGAAAGAGAAGGTGAATTCTTTTTCTCAATAAAACTATGTTATCATTACGTAATTAAAGAGTGTTGTTGAGCTCCCCAGTTCTTGGCGCTTTTTTTATTCGAACATTGAAACAGGGAGAGGATGCATCCATTGAAGCAGCTGTGGCGGCAATTTCTAGTTGCTTGAGAGAGCCAGTGGGGCCAAATAATTGCTCAGAGGTGAAATAATTCTACCATGGACTAACGAGGAAGCATTCTCTGCCAATTTGATGCGTCAAGACAAGACTTTTTGGCCAGCATGTTGCCCTTCCTAGGTTGGGCAGCTATGACTTATAAGTTAAAACTACGAGAGGAAATTTGCATTATGTTTTATTCACATTGAGCATAATGAAATTATGTATCTACTGGTTAATACGTATGGAGTCATGGAAAGTCTTTTTGTTGCACAAATATGAGAGATATCCTGACGGACTGAGAATCAAATGGCCTGTTATGCAGTCTATGTGCCTAGTTAAGTTTTATTGGTGGAACAGAGCTGTAGACGGAAAGTCATATTGAATTTTATCTTCTAGAAAAGCGTTCACTGGTGAGTATTTGGACGAAGGCCTTGGACTTTGGAGTTCTTTTTTTCCCCCTTGACAAACAGGCCTCGGAGTTCAGAGGAAGCTAGATTGTTGAATTTGAGATTTTGAGCCCTTAGGCGAGCATATGTTTGATATAGTGCGTTGAGGTGCAATTTTATCTTGATCTAATTTCTCTCCTGTCCATTATCAAAAATCACGGAGGGAAGGTTCCTGGGACCAAAGGTGCTAGTATTGGCAAAACATACTGTACGAATTGCTTTGTTTTAACTTGAAATCTTAAATATTAGCTGCACAACACGCACAATGCACGTTAGGAAGAAAGCTAGTGAGGGATGTGTGTGTAGGCAGTAGATCTGTGGCAATGGCGGACCCCGGCCAGCCTGGGCACCATCTGACTAGGAAAGGACCAGTTTTGCACACGCTTTAATTGCAACACATGAACAGTGAGCCTATACTTGCCATTCCGGCTAGATATTAATTGGTAATCAGCTGGATAGCAGGTGATCATAACTCGTCTAACATGTTTATCGCAACATTGCAGCAGGCATGCCTGCATTATCTGCGGAAATGAACCAGTTTCTGCTTATTGGTGCAGCTTTTGTGCGCAGGTTAACTAGTTAGCTAGCCCCGAAACGTTATCCACCTTATTTTAGGTCAACCATTGTTATGCCATCAGCATCAGATTTTCCCCCTCCCCCCCCCCCCCACGTATGAAATATAATATCCACACGCTCATAATATGTGCCCAGTCATGTTAATGCTTGAGGAGCCGGTCCATGTCTTTGTTAAAAACTCTGTTGAGTTGGGAGATTGAAAACAAGTTGCTCCAAAATCTCAAACGGGCTCTTAGAAATTGTGTATACAATAATTCCTTTACGTGTTTAATTAATCACAAGGAGGTGAGGAGATGATAAACTGTTCAAAGAATGAGTGAGCCAGCTACAAATAATGTTCATGATACTGGAGAAGACTTAAACTGAGAAATTACTAATGAGTGAAACTTTTTTAAGATACTCAGCCTTCCGATTGTCTAGAATCTCCTGTAGTTCTCCAGGAAGGCAGGGAACTGTGAGAGCTCCCTTCTGGCTGAAACCATACTCTTCGCCAGCTCGATCCAGCAGTCCCATGAATACAGGATCGGTCAAGTATTCCAATTCAACAACGAATCTTCTTGTCTCTTCACCCATGATTGCAAGAACAGCAAAATGTCCTTCCTTAACATCATCTGGCACTATAGTCGCAGCTTCGAGCTGATCTTCACTCGAGTGGCTGAGTGTTGATCTTCTGGGTGTAAAGAGTGAGAGACCCTTCTGTATCTTGCCAACGAAAGATCCAAGCATCTCCAAAACAAGTATTTTAATCTCTTCTTACTGATATGATATTAATTTAAACTTGAGATTCTCAGAACTTGCGATGTCTATTGCAGGCTATGGCTATTTATACAGGTAAAGTGGAGGAAGCCATGAAATTTCCTGAAACCAAGCCAGTCTGTGGAGTGGAGCCATGTGTAGGGCGTATGGGTATGCATAGCATTCAATGACGCTTGACGAGTCAGTCTCTCTCTTAAAACGCTGAGCAGATCTGACCATCGACTTTTAGAGGGAGAGCCTATAATTTGTTGTCCTTGTCTCGCTGTTCAGTTGATTCAATCCATTCGGTTTTCGGAAAAAATTGACGGTTGATACGGCAAGATTTTTTTTCCCCTCAAGACCCGGTCGCCCTTTGCTAATATTATTTATTGATCTTACAGCACTTTCTGACAATAAGCATATTTTAGATGTTGTCGGATGGAAGTTTCTGAAACGCGAAAGAAGTTAAAGAACTTCACAATAGATTGCAATGTGTGTTTAAGGGCTGATGATTTCTTGTCTGTTGGGGGCTATTCCATTTAAGGTGAAGATTCCTTTTTAGGGGTAAACGATGACGGCGGAGCCCAAATTACTAACACGTGAACGTTTGGCACCGTTGTTGGTAAGAAGTTTGTGTAGGAACCAAGAATTCAGCTTAGGTGTTCGAAGGGAGCATACCTTTCCCGTGATATTCGCGGAGAATTCAAATATAATAATAAAGCGAGATGATCTACATCATAATGTCAACCTTAGATCAATTATGGTTGAGTGCTAGAATAACCAATTGATGTGATCAACTGGACTCATCATACATTGTACTAGCAGGATACATGCACGTACCTTAGCCGCCTAGAACCATATTGTGCCCCGGCTGCTGTTTTGTCACTCTAAAAGAGGTCCCTTTTTTTCTTGGGTTTTGGGAGAGGTGGGTCATGAGTTACTATCATCATTAACTGAACAGTCCAGAATTCGAAGTTCAACTTCGACCATCAATCAAAAAAGGTAGTGCATTATACACAGCACATTCGATACTCGGGAGGAAAATGAAGGCCCAAGTTACATTGGGCTTTAGCCCATATGAAACTAGAAGAAGAGGGTCTCGGGACGTCGGGTCTGGCTTGACGCTAGTCTGAATGAGACGGAAATGGGGGAGAAGAGATTCTTGTTAAGACTGTTCATATCGGTGAAGCACATAACGGCAAACGTCATGGACGAGAGCAACGGTAGAATAGTGGCGACGGCATCGACGGTGGAGCACGCGATCAAGGACGCTTTTGACCCCAGGGCGTCGGCTTCGGCGATCGGAGAGGTGCTGGCGATGCGGCTGAAGGCGGAAGGGCTAGGAAGTGGGGCCCGCATCGACGCTGCGAAGGAGATCGAGAATAAGGAGCTCCACACCTGTCCCAAGGCACGGGCCATCGTTAACGCCATGAGGAGCCGGGGGCTCCACATTGTTCTTCCCCATCACGATGGCTCCTCGCCTTAGATCTTATTTTGGGCTTTATCTTTGGGCCTGCCACTGTGATTTGGGCTTTTCTGATCATTTCAACCCAGGTACAGACTTGACAGGTTTTGTCTAATCTTGTTATGGATCTAAACAAAGCCCATTACTTGCTAGTCTGCTCTAACAATGATTTCCTTTCCCTTTATGCTTTATTGTGATTCATCTCAAAGTCAAATTTGATATTTTTATGTTATAATTACACACTTTTGACCATAAGATTGTTTAAACCCGAAGCCTGCGTTTCTGAACTGCCCCAGGTTTTATTCATCCCGTCTTACTCTTTCCCCGCAGCTAATTAAGGTCGTTGTGCTCAGGCTAATGAGCGTTGAAACCGTGAGAAAGTAATGGGAATGGATACTACTAACCATATTTCTCACTATCCATGGAAGAAAGTAAATTACTTTGAAGTGATGGAGCTACGTAACTCAACGTTTGAAAGTTAAATGACCGTCTTGCGCTGCCGCCTCCCACAGATTCAACCAGACGTCACGGGGAGTTTGGTGAAATATACCCGTATGTATGTTAGTCAAAATACTGAACATTAGGGGTCCCCTGTTTCCTAGCCTTATCCAACATGCCCCTATGTTTAGTCTTCAAATATGTAAGCCGTCGTTGGCGATTTTCTTGTTCAAAAACGAGAATTCGACAGTCAAACGAGCAGCCTACCATTAATGGAATGGAGGTTGAATATTTGGAGCCCCGAGTTAAACTAAAACGTTGAATATGAGTGGATCGCACGTGGGTCTTGAAGCTAGCCGCGTGCTGCTATGATCTTTCTCAACATTCCCACCTTTTGACCTTTATCCGCAAGGTTTCCCATTTTCACAGCACAAAAACTAGCTGGCGCTCATTGATTTGTCTCGCGACTAACTAGGCACGAACAAAACCAAACCACTCACAACACAACCGCTTCCTTCCCCGTACCGTCGCACAAAAATTAAATCCCACATTACTCTTATGTATGAGTAACTATTAATATTGAACTACCTGCTTCAACAGGAAGAAGAAATACAGGGCGGTTGGATCTGGTTTAAAATAAAACCGGCCGCTGAATTATTTTGTCAAACGTGGTTTGAAAAAAGAAGGGGCAGCCACATTAATAAATGCAGGGGCCTATTTTTCTTTTTTGGGTGCCACGGGGAGGAGACGTGAGAGCGCAGGGGGAAGACTAGAGCGCACTCCTGGCGTGCAAATTCAAACTCCAACACGGAGCCATGTGTTGGTGACGTGGAACGGGACCCACTAGTCCCCCAATTGTCTGCTGCCTAACCGCGTTCTCGCGAGTCGCGAGTCCCCTAACCTCAACTCACCTCACTCTCTTCTCAGCACCCTACTCCACATTTATAAAATATTAATATTGCATTACCAAAACAACATTTTTTTTTTGGCCAACCAAAACAACAAATATTTCAGACACCTGTGCATTGAATTCAAATATTTATATTCAGCTATAAAAATTTTCAGTACTCATATTATTCTTTTAAAATTTTATACGTGCATTATTTAAATATCAAACTGAATAAACATTGGGCTGTTCAATTTCTTAAAATATCTATTAAAAAACTAAACAGTAAAAATATATTTTATTGATGGTTGCTCAGTTGATTCTCATTTCACACTGGTACTTTAAAGGGCACAAAGTCCAGAACATTCCAGAGCGAGCACGCAACCTTATTTTCAAACGAGCCATATAATATTACTACATCATACATGCACGGATGGATGGAAGGACGCAGCAGCATGATGATGGGATGCCCATAATAAATGGGCGATGCATTGCATACATGCATGACATGGAAGGAGCCGACATATACAAATGCCCTAAATCGGTTTGCAAAGTCAGGGCTGAGTCATAAAATGCGACCCCTTTCGCGACTCGCCTCCCTCCCCCAAGGGCCCCACACGAGAATTCCCCATTTGTCTCTCTCTAAAAATGCCGTTGCCAGCATCTCCTTTTCAATATATATCATTATCTCCACTTTATATTTATTATTGTCAGCTAACTTTCCAGATCAAAACTTAAAAAAAGAAGGAAAAAAAAATTCTTTATATCTATAATATAACTCGTGCTTTCTGATCGCTGTAATTTAAATTCCAATGATGTGCATGATTTTAAAATGTGATTATACTTAGGTATCATCGATTTTACATGGAGCAATGATTCTGCATAAATTAATATTTTATGTTCTGTATCTTAATTCTTATTAAAATCCAGATCACTGATCTGGCGACTAATGATCCAGATACAGTCGTGTGTATATATGAGTATATTTAAGACTGTAACACTTACATTCAATGAGCTAACAACCCTTTTTAATCTACTGTGGGGCATATTATTATTAATTATATGATTTAAAAAATAAAGAATGAAAAGATACCTGAACCGGAAGGGCCTGTCATGGCCCAGTAAAAAGCCGGATGGGCCCAGTGTGCTGTGCTGATATGGTGGGGTTGGGCACAGGGTAACCGGTAGGGGTGTTCACGAGACGGATCGGGACCGGGACAGGCCCATCCCGGTTCCGTCCCGGTAAACAGTAACGGGACGGATTTTCTGTCCCGTGTCCCGGCCCGTCCCGGGGTTGTCCTGGTCCCGGTCAGGACGGGACAGGACCGAGACGTCCCGAAATTATTATTTTTTAATTTTTTTTTAATTTTTTAATTTTTTTAAAAAAATCTGATTTTTTTAATTATATTTTTTTGAGCCTAAATCTTATAAAAATATCTTTTTTATTTGTTTGGGCACTCTTAAACAAAAGCTCAAAATATTACATATAACAGTTATTAAAAACTCTAAACAAAAGCTTTTAACACAATAAAAACTTGCTAAAAATTCTAATCATCAATAATCTCAAATCATTAACAAATATAAAAACTCTAAATAAATATATCCATAGTTCCATACAATAGTCTCAAGTCTTAAAAAAATATGAAAAAAATGATATTATATAAAAAATTAAAAAAATTAATTTTTTTTTAAAAAGGAACCGGGACGGGACGACCCTGTCCCGTGTCCCGTCCCGTCCCGGTCCCTTTTTTGTTCCGTCCCGGTTTGTCCCATCCCGAAAAATTTCGGGACGGATCCGTCCCGTCCCAATAAGACCGGGACCGGAACGGGCCGATCAGGACGGGCCGGCCTTGAACACCCCTAGTAACCGGTGACACAATTAACAGTTAAAGGGTCATCCACCGCATTTATTTAGCGTTTACTTATGAGTTATGATTCCATTTTCACTCTCGACGATGCACGGTTTTGATCGTCGTTTCAAGTATGGGAATTATTAGTTTAACTATGTAGCTTGATAGTTGTAGACATAATGCCATAATAATGTATTCGATCCTATTACAATTCAATGAATGTAATCATTTCGGTAATGAAGTTATAAAGTATAAATATATATAAATTCACCCCCCCCCAAAATGACATTGTCACTGTATGTACACGTAGTATTTCAAAAGTTAATTCCTTGATTTTTTTTCTTAATATTGTATAAAAATCAGAGCAGAAAATATACAAAGCAAATGTGTATGTCATGAATCATGATCAAAAGAAGCCCAGGCACGAGGCGATCATTCATTAAATTATAGAAAATTGAAGGTAATGATCTCACGTGTTAAAATGGAGTTTTTTCCCCTCCCATTTTTATTAATTACCAGTGAACCCACAACCCCGTCTCTCAATTTCAAATTTCGACCCACTAGCTTTTTTGGCGATTTTTTTTAATTATTTATTTAACTCTCATGATGGTTTCGTTGAGCGAGCTATGACCACATGTGCATGATTTGATTTGGCCACATGGCTCAAGGCTTTTTTTTCCTTTTTCCTAGTGGGTCAAAGGCAGATGGGTGGATTTAATCCCTGCAGTTGAAATTCCATTTCTTGATTGGGCCTTAATTAATTAAGAGATAATAATTATTGAATGGGAATTTAACATGGAATGGAAAACCGGACCGGACCGGCCGGTTCAGACCGGAAACCGGTGAACCGGTCGGAAAACCGGTCCGGTTGAGCGTATGAACCGGGTTCAAATTGAACCGGTGTGGACCGGACCGAACCGGGGTGAACCGGAAACGAACCGGTTGACCCGACGGTTCAGTGGGTCACACCGGTTGTTTTTAAAAAACCAAACTCAGTGACAAAACGACGTCGTTTCTTTTTTTAAAAAAAAAAATCCACTCTGGCTGACTGGGCGGCGTGCGCACGAACCCCCCGCCCCCTACACTGTCGCTTCAAGCCTTCAGAGTCAGTTCAGAGCCTACTCTTCTCTCTGTTTTGTTTTCCTTTCGGTTTCCCTCTTTATTTTTTTCCCTCCTTCTCTCCCCGGTAAACCCATTTTTTGCCCTAGCTTCCCTCTTGTTTACGGTACCGGCAAGCCATTTCTTCTTGCATTTTCAGAGTTCGCCGTGGCTCATTGATGACTGGTCGGAGTTGACGGAAACAGAGTGCGTTCCGCATTCTCGTTGATGGAGCTCCCTCTTGTTTAACCGTCGTTCAGAGTTCCGCCACCGTTCAGAGCTCCCTGTTGTTTACTCTGTCGCCATTTCTTCTTGCATTTTCAGAGTTCAGAGCCGTGGCTCATTCATGACTGGTTCGTGTTGACAGAGGCAGCGCGGGTTCCGCATTCAGAGTTCTTCATTCAAACTTCAGAGCTCCGACGCCGCCGTTCTGGTTTGCAATTTTTTTCCGGATTGTGAATGTGGTTTCAATTGGTTCTGTTAGAATTTAGAGTTTTGATTCATGGATTGTGAATTTGTGATTACCGTTCTGTTTATTTCAATCGTGAGCACCATTACTTTCCTTTTCTTTTTGCTTGGGCCTGATGAGAACTGAGAAGTAGAGGTAATGGGAGAATGAAGCAATGTAATAGTATTATAGCCTTGATAGTTTCATCTCATCAGATTCACCTTACCTCACACGGCTGTATATATTGTTATTGTCTATTCGGTATTTCGGTTTATTGGCAAAAATCCTTCAATGGTTTATCTGACTTTATAGTTTGGAATTTTTCATTTACTGCCGTATACTTGTTGCTCTGATTCAGTGATTTGGATTATTAATTTGCTGTGGGATTATTAATTTGCTCCGGCTTTGCTCTGACTCTGTTTTATAATTCATCCCTAATTTGTAGTTTGTGTTAGATTATTTGGGCTGATTATTGATCATGGATGATACAAATACCGAAAGAAATGAGAATTTGAATTCCACGTCTGGTTCTGGTTCTGGTTCTATCAACAATAATCCCAGAAATGAGAATCCGAACCCCACTTCTGGTGCCACCAATAATCCGAACAGCATTGCACCCTCATTTGGACCTGGTAAAACTGATCCTGCATGGGCATATGTTTCCCTTAAGAAAGAGGGGAAAGTAAATGTCTTTACCTGTCTATTTTGTGCATCAAGTTATAGAGGAGGTGGGATAAATAGAATGAAACAACATTTAGCTGGTGTCTCTGGTCAAGTTTGTTCTTGTAAAAAAGTTTCTCATGATGTACGTGCCAGAATGAAAGAATCTTTGGTAGAAGGGTCAAAGAAAAAACATGTTAAACATGTAGAAGATGACACTGAAACTAGGGAAATTGAGGAATTGGTTGATTCACCTCCACTTAGAATAGGCATTGAAAGTAGTGGCAACAAGAGAAAAGCTCCTGAAGCTGGGAGGGTTGACAATTATTTTGCTCCTAGGACATCTTCTGGTTCCCAACCAAGCCTCAAGAGTGTATTGTCAACTAAGGAAGCACAATATAATGCCAAGATGGTTATTGCTCAATGGGCTATTGTTAATTGCATTCCATTTAATGCATTGGATTGTCCTCTTTTTCAAAAAGTTGTTGATGCTATTGCTGCAATTGGGCCTGGTTTTAAAGCCCCTAATGCTTATGATTTTAGAGTTAACTTGTTGAAAGATTGGAAGAAGGAATGTCAGTTATTGATTGAGAGTCATCGTGCAAAATGGAAGGAAAATGGTTGTACACTCATGGCTGATGGTTGGACTGATGTTAGACAAAGAACTTTGATTAATTTCTTAGTCTATTCGATACATGGCATGGTATTTGTGAAATCAATTGATGCTTCAAATGTAGTTAAGGATGCTAAAACTTTACTCTCATTATTTTGTGAAGTTATTGAGTGGGTTGGTCCTGAAAATCTAGTTCATGTGGTGACTGACAATGCTGCTAACTATGTGGCATGTGGTAAACTGATTAAAGAGAAATATAAAACTATTTATTGGTCACCTTGTGCAGCTCATTGCTTGAATCTTGTCTTGAGAGATATTGCTTCTATGCCTCATGTGTCAAATCTTGCAACAAAGGCATCTAAAATCACTATATTTGCATATAATCATACAATCTTCTTGTCATGGCTAAGGAAAAGACCGGGTTGGAAGGAAATTGTTCGCCCTGGTGCAACAAGGTTTGCAACTACATTCATTACCTTGCATAGCATATATTTGCACAAGCATGATTTACAAGCGTTGGCTATTGATAAACATTTTGTGGATCACAAATTGGCAAGAACTGAAGCTGGAAGAACTTTCAGTGCAATTGTATTAGACAATCGGTTCTGGAATGAATGTTACCAAGTTGTGAAGATTGTGTCTCCACTTATGAGACTTCTGAGGATTGTTGATTCAGATGAAAAACCCTCGTTGCCTTATGTATATGAAGGGATGCAAAGGGCTAAAAATGGAATCAAGGAGATCTTTCAAAGGAATAAAGAGCTATACAAGCCTTACACTAACATTATTCAAGCTCGATGGGACAAGCATTTGAAGCAAGAACTTCATGCCGCAGCTTATATGTTGAATCCTGCATTTTTGTATAATCCAACTTTCATCAAAAAGAACAGATTGCAAAAAGATTTGATTGATGTCTTTGAGTCTTTCTCAAATGAAAATCTTGATTTTTGTACAATGATGCAGCAAGTGTTTATCTATCGTGATCGTAAGGATTCTTTTGATAGATTTTCATGTGAAAAAGCAGCTCAAAAACTAGATCCTCGTAAGTATATTTATATCATGTTTAATAGCACATATTAATACATATTTAATATCAAATATATGAATATAACTAAATATCTTTTATTCTATTATGCAGATCAGTGGTGGTCATTTTATGGGAGTTCAATTCCGGAATTGCAACAAGTTGCAATACGTATTCTTAGCCAAACATCTTCTTCTTCTGGATGCGAGAGGAACTGGAGCTTATTTGAGCGGATTCATAACAAAAGAAGAAATAGATTGGAACATGAAAGGTTAAATGATCTGGTTTTTACAAACTACAATCTGAGATTAAAAGATAGGTAATATTAAAAATTTTGATTTATGAATGTTTTTATTGAATATTGCTTATTTGCTTTTATTGAATATAGAATTCATTAATGTTGATTTTCTTACATTTTGTTATTGAAGGAATCTATTGAACAAGAAGAAGACAAATTATGATCCTATTGATTATGAATCAATTGATAAAGTTGATTTTTGGGTGGTTGAAGATGCAACTCCTGAATTTGATAGTCTAGATGAAATAAATTTTGAAAGAGTTGCCAATAATGAAGACATTGCAACTACATCAACTTTTGAGATTGAAAGGCATGATGAAGGTTTGTAATAAATTAATAATCTCTTCTGTTATAGTTTCATTTTTATACAAAAGTGTATAACTATTTTTTTCACATAACCATTAACAATTTAATTGTTGTCATGTATAGGTGATGAAGACATGCATATTCCTGAGCCTCCACCTTTGAATGATGATGATATTACTCCAAGTGCTTGTGCTGGTCCTTCTGTAGCTTCTTCACCTCCTCCTAGTGTCTCAATGCCTATGGATTTAAATGAAGTTAATGATAATTTTGGTGTGGATAATTATTAGTTGGTTTAGTGATTGAATCATTATAGGTGCCAATATATATATCTATTTTGATAGTTTTCTAGGATGAATATTTAGTATTTTGGTGACATGGGATGGCATTATGCCATTATGACAATGTGATGTTATTTTGTTATGTAAAAAAGTTAAAACTTCAAAATATATTGTAAATATATGATTATGTTTTTGGTAATTTAAGGTATTAAGTTGGTGTGATAAGAATTTTAATTATTTTTTAATTTTTTTAATTCCTCACCGGTCTGACTCCGGGTCAACTCCGAGCTAACCCAGTAACCCTTGACCCACTGCCTTGACCGGTTCAGTTACCGGTCCGGTTTTCAGTACCTTGGAATTTAATGATGTTGAGGAAGGAGTCATAACTTTTTCTTTGGGGAAAAAAAGTCTCTATCTTAACATCACTAACCCACGATGTGATGGATATTATTTCCCAACTGAAAAATTTAAAGAAGTGTTCAGATATCATTAAAAGTGATTTTTAAAAGTATTTTTTATAAATCGAGATAGATTTTTTACATATTTATTTCGTATACTGCAAAATTACTTTTAAAACTATAATTTAATTTCCATCCAAACCCTCCTTAAATCCAGGGACCAAATTGATAAACACTCTTTATCAGAATTCAGAACCAACTTCTTAGGTGAATAATTAATTCTGAATAAAAGAAAAACCGGGATGACCACGGACTTGATTGATTGGTTAATGAATTTTTTACAGAAGATAATTTTTTAAAGCAGAGGTTTTGTTTGTTTTGCCAACCTTTTACGCAGAGATTGCAGATACGCATATTCTGATTAAAAAATAGCAACCGCTGATAATCACTTTCGAGATTAACGTTCTAGATCATAGGATGGTGGCCCTGGCATCCATGTGGATGAAGCGATGACGAAAGAGCTGACGTGGAGCGCAACCGCTGAACAGTTAGACGTGACTCAGACACGACCCACGAGGGAGCTCGTCTGTTTGTGGTGGTTGATGATGGGGTTGGTGTGGCACCCCCGTGACCCCACGCTGTCATCTCAGCCTGAAAATGCGAGGCTTAGTGTATTGGCCATTGAAGGCAGCCTCACTCGGGGGTGACATGTGACATGGAGCTTCCAGGAACTTTCATGCGATAATCTATGGTGGAATATTTTTCAGCAGGATTTTAAAAAAAAAGTAATTAAAAATATGGTGGAATATCTATCAATCCCCCACACCCTTTTAAAGGTGTCAAATTTGGCTATAATGACATTAATGGCTTTGATGACCCTTTTCTTTTTTAATTGCTGATTATTGTGGGATATTATCTAAGAGTCCCTGCCCAATTGCGTATGTTTCAGCTAAGCGTCACTGATTTGTTAAGTGCATTTCATTATCTGGGTAATTGTCATTTCATCTAACAACGCTTGTGATGCACGATACTTCGTGATAAGAAATTAAAAAAAAAAAATCAAAGATTTCATCGAAATATCTCCGGTGTGGTAGAAATTTCAGACAAGACCATACCATCAATTCTTTGTCTATCGTCAATGATTTCATCAGCTCTGAGCCAATTGGATCAGCTAGCTCGATATCTACCCAGGTGTTCAGGTGTTTAATATCTTTCGCGTGAATTGTGAATGGGCTTCTGGAAAAATGACAAGCCTTAGATCATATCAGTTGTATAATTACTAGCTAGTATCTTTATTTTCATTTTTAATTATTCAGTCTTTATGGACATGACTAGGATTTTTCTAGTTAACAAAAGACCAACATAATACGCCATTGACTTTTGCAAGCCGTTTTGACATTGCAGATCTAAGTGTCTCGTAAAATCCTCTTAAGCAACAGAGTTTCAAACTTGTAATTACCGCTATTATTGATATCTAACGAGTAGCAGAGAGCCATGCATCCTTGGATTATTGGATTATATTGGGGATTTGTGTGTCCTTAGTTATATTACGCACGCACACATTGATCAGTTCAATCCAATGCAAAATAACAGAGTGGTGTTCTACTGCTTGCCTTTCTAGCCAGAAAGACAAAAAAATATTTGATTATATTGTTACTTACACTCATGAAAAGTAAGAGCATGTGGATATACATATAGTGCCAGCTTTAATTTCCAAATAAATGGATTTCCAATCTTTTCTTCCCCTCTTTATTTCATTGTCCTTCCCCACTCTTTGTTCTGTCTATTTGCATGAGCTGTGATGAGTGTGATTATTTGGGCTGGAGATAAGGTTTTAAAGGGATACGCAATATGGATCGCAAAAAAAAAGGTACACGCAATAATGAAATGAGCAATGTTATGTTAATCACAATAATTTTTGTTTCCTCTTGACTGGTTTTAGATCGAAATTTGGCTCTATTACTGAATAAATCAAATCAGAAGATGATAATATTAGAGTATTATTAGATAATATGGGGTCTTTATCACTGATGGCATATTAACCATCCATCGTAAGCAGTCTTCTTTCTTCCGTTCTCATAATGTAAATGGAGCTTAAAGTCGCTATGAAGCATGCGCATAATGACGTGATATCAGATAAGAATGGTTCATCTAATGAATTTCTCTTGTTATCTTCGAAATGATTGGTTGGTCCAAAATAAAATGATTGGGTGCTCTCCTTTGTCTTGCTGCGCAGCAGAATTTGTAGCCTATACGTAATCACATGTCACTGTTGCACAGCATGAGGTCCGTGAGAATATGGGCAAAAATAAAATAAAAAATCCACTGTCGTTTTGCTCAATGGAATCTTTTTGAAAATTCCCTCGTCTTTGTGTTTCTGATAGAAATAGAAAACCTAATTCGGATTATTCAATTATTGCCCTTGTTCTTTTTCTTTTGTGCTGATCTTATTCACCTTTTTAATTAGCACAAATGATGAATGCATTAATATATATACTCAGTAAGAACAATAATACCCATTAAGAAAGAAGAAAATATCTAGAAGCCCTTTGCCGGCGATGTATAGCTAGCATTCCGTCTCTTCTGTTTCAAAAAACAGGGATTTACCTAAATGTTTGTATGGTTGTCCAAATAAAAATCTAAATGCTTTCATGGTTAGAGTTATATAAAGAGCCAGGTAGTCATACAGCTTAATTAGCGCCTTCGATTTCCATTGATTTACTAAGTTCTTAATTAAAATTTAGAAGAGCCGTGATCTCTATAGACGACAGCTGAAGTGATCAAGGCCGACCATGGGAGATGTCCCGTCATTCTAGTACTCGTACACTGGGCAGCTAATTAGATTTATAATATAAATTTAATCAATACATAATCACTGATCAGCCTAGCTATTGTTTTATTGACATTGCTTCAGATTTTATAAGTTGCATGCGTATCTCTCGATCCCAAGTGCATGCGCGAGCCCACCGTACATGGTCAACGGTTAATTGTTATATCACGGCAAGAGCATTGATAACAGTAACTTAGCGCACATTATGACTGCGTGCAGATTCTAAGTGAGTTGTTTTGAAAAAATGATGTTAAAAAGGTTACTTCTTTCTCATCGGACTCATGACAGGGGAACAGGGGTGAAATGTTCATTCATGAATTGCTCCAAAAAGCTATTTTTTATTACTTTTTTTTGGGGCGGGGGGGTAGAACTATACATATATGACATTCACTGTTATTGGCTAGCTGGTAATTAGATTTCGGCCACTTAAGCAGACGATCCACCAACTGTTTTCCATTTCACTCTTGGTCACATCTTAAAAAAGCATGAAAAAAGGCTAAATGGTACGATCTTGCCGCCACCTTGGAATGAAAGGGACGACTTCGTAGTTTTTGGTCTGTTGTTCTAATTAATGCATCACGATATGATCAGTAAAAGAAAAGAAGGGGAAGGAGATATGTATAATGCATATAATAAATATTTCAACTAGTATGGTGCCTTCATATTTGAACTAATTAACTAATTAACCGCCATTACATGGGAGAGAGTAGAAGCAGCATATAGATGAGCCTGGTCTATCGTGCCAGCTGGAATTAATTACAACAATGACGTCCAACGGCGGGCAAAGAGGACGGATATTAAAGTGTAGTTGCGTGCTTTTAAAGAATGAAGTACGCAGATCGGGAGGTCACCAGACCATAGTGGTGGCAGAAAGAGCCAGCCAGCCATTGATGAACAAGGGATAAGATATCCATCATTCACAAAAATGGACCACATTATTGTATGACGCTATATATGAAGTCTCTGGCATGCATTCAAACAGGTTGCTCTTTTCAAGGCCTCCAAAATTATATACTCATAATTTTAACGCCATTAATTGACCATCGACTTGTATTGCATGCGCGTGGTTTATAATATAATTAATAAAAAAAGAACCAGTTGCCGTACTGTCTCCTTCTTCGCTTAACTATTTAATTAAAGTCATGGCCTCATGGGTACGTATACGTATGGCAGGCTATACATGCAAACTGAAACGCGCGGCCGTATGCATTATATTCGTTGATTAATAATAACAAGTGACACGAAGCAAAAGAAAAAGAAGAAAATAGGGTCCCTTGCAGAGCAAGGATCTGGCATATGACAAAATTTATAAAGAAAGACAAGACAGGCAATTTTCATGGCCTTTTCTGCGGTGCAAGTCGTGTGGGACTCGAATTCAGCTGAGCTGCTCAAATTCATCGAAGGTTATCTGAATCCTGAAGGTTTTCATTTAAAAAAAAAAAAAAAGAATACATCACGCTTATCTATGAACTTTAATTGGCGACATTATCATTCTTTGTACAGTAAGATTCTTAATTTTACTGTCATCATGATCTGATTAGAAAAATGGACCCCCTTCCCCCTGAAAGTCTCTTTATTGGCTTTGCTTTCTTTTCCGTTGGTGTCCTGTACTGCGATCGATTTACCCTTTTCCTCTTGTACTTTGTACCAGCAGGCCACGGTACGTGTGCGGGTAAATTCGATTCACTTTACTTTCGATGGCCGCAACAATTTTAGAAAGAGTTTATTTTCTGCTTTCAAAATCGATGCCAAGTTGCCAACGAAGCGACTATTTTTCTGTTCCCACGCCCTTGTCACCCCTCAACAGCCCACCAAAGCGTCTGAACTGAGTGGATGATGGATCCATATCGGATCTGATCTCAAGCGGCTTAACCGAAGTGTTAGGTATATTCATCTGATCGATGAGAGTCCTACGCTATAATGATTTTAAACAATTTAGAAGTTATTAACGTTAAAGACGCAGATTTTAACTCGGTAGATATATGTTCATTATTACAATCTGCAGTATGATACATCAGAATTTAAAAGAAAAAACGAAAAAAGAAAAAAGAAAAAAAGAAAGGAACAAAGCAACAAATGCAGTCGTTTTTCTGGTCCAGATTCTCTAGCCAGAGCCGGCTACATCCCTAAGCCCCTACTGGATCCGGAACGTCAAAATCCCACCATCTCTGAGTTTCTCTATATAGCAATATATATATATATATATATCGTTTTATTTTCTGAACACGGTTTAATTATATACAGCGTCCGCGTACGTGTATGTTCACTACTCTTCAAATCCACCGTCGGATGAATCGATCGCGCTCACATCACAGAACAGGCATTGGGATTTTCGTCGCTGAACATCTGGGGATGAGGAGGTGGCATGTAGAACGGTGGTGGCGCCGCCGGGTATCCTTGGTTTACGTACATTGGATTCCCATAATGCCCTTGGTTCACATACCCTGGATGTACTTCCATGGCGTGGCTGGGTTCACTGGGCACGTGACCGTCGTGCCAGAACGTCGGAGGGGGGAAACCGTAATATTCCATCTTGTTAGCTTCCACCTTTGGTGCCTCTTCCTTTTTCTCACCGTCTCCGCCGGCGGCCGGTTTCGCTTCGGCCTCTTTCTTGTCCCCTCCGCCGCCTTTCTCCTTTTTATCGTCGTCTTTCTTGGGTGGTGGGACCACCTCCACGTTTCGCTTCAGCTTATCCTTCAGGTAAGGCGTAAGCTCCTTCACGTCCATCGTTCCCTTCACCGCCACTAAATCTTTGGCTCCGTCAATCTCCACCGACTCAACTCCTGTACGACGCGTCAGAGCACCGTCAGTCACTGCAGGCCCTTAACTACCTTTTTTATTTTCTATTTTTTTATTCATTATGGGAGCGGCACAAAAGGCCGAAACACATCTTCATTTTTATATTCACAGCAGGTGTATGGCGTCATCTTAATCCTTAACCATCTGAATACAAATTAAAATACTTATGTAAAGTAATAGATGATCGATCGGTATAATTAAAAAATAATCCAGGTCAAATTCACTAGTGGCTCACCTTTAATCTTGAGTATGATTCGCCGAATCTTAGAAATGCAACCGTCACAGTGCAATCTGATCTTCAAAATCACTGTGCTCTGAATCATCGGAAAATTTAGAAATATATATTATTATAAGAATATAAAAGCAGGTAAATTTTCAGGGGAAAAAAAAATTAAAGAAACAAATAATTTTGTTAAGAAATAGTGGACGATGATGCTGGCTAATTAACTAAATTACGAACCGCTTGGAAAATGGAATGGGATGTATCGAATTCGTAATGTAATAACAACATAAATAAATAATTTAATTAATATCAATACCTCTTTCGGTTTTTTATCCTCCTCAGGCTTCTTCTCTTCGGGTTTCTTCTCCTCGGCCTTCTTTTCCGGCGGTTTCTCGTCTGACTTTTTATCGGCTCCGGCATCTTTCTTAGGCTGAGGGGAGATGAGCGCCACCTTCTTCTTGGTTTTCTCCGCTAGCTTCCCCTGTACCAAGGTGGGGTCCACCTTACCAAACACCGTAAGTTTGTTGGAAGACATATCGGCCTTCACGTCTTCCACACCTGCATCCACCATCAACTCCGCCGATTAAGACTCAAATTCACCCCACAAAAACCTCATTAATCTCAAAGAACTACCACGGGATCTAAATATTGAAGAAAAATGGTCGCAATATCCTGAAGAGTGAAATATATACCATCCAAATGCCGGACGCTTCGTTTGATCTTCTTCACGCATCCTTCACAATGCATGTCAAGCTTCAAGACGATAGGGGCCGGACCCTCGTCCTTCTTGGCTTCCCCTTCGGGCTTTTTCTCCGTCTCATTCTTTGGCTCCTCCTTTAGCTGCCGTAGCCAACAACAAAAAAAACGTCGTCAGAACTGAGGCTAAGATGCTACCAAGAGAAAAAAACATATTGAGTGATAGGAGTGTGTTTTGAATGAAATGAAAATTTGAAACTCACCTCTCCCATTTGGAATTAGGATAGAGGATACGGTAATGAAATAAGTATAGATGGGAGAATTGCTGAGAAGTTGCTGGTTGTTTGAAGAGTGGATATGGTGGCAACCAGGGGCCTATATAAAGAAATGGGGGTCAAGGGAGTAAGAATTGGCTTGCTGTCCTAGTTAGGTCAGAGAAGGATGAATGGTTCATGACTCATGGCTTATGCATGTATGATGGGCCATGATACAACAAGAGGATGTGAATTATTAATTATTTAATTTGATGGTTTATTGGTTTATTAGCGAAACAACGACTGCTACTGAGTTACCCCGGGAAAAAAAAAGTTATATATACATATATATGCGCACACATATAATATCTCTATTTAATTAATAAACCATATAGTAATGTATTACCCCCAAAAAAATGCTGAACTCGCTTGCGGCCGACTTATACTCCTGTGGAGGGGCAACGCCACAGTGACTCGTCATCTATATTTTCACTGCTGTGTCAGTGAAATGACGGAATTAACCCTGGCCTTCTTCTGGTTGGCAGTTGCGAAGGTTCCTCGGAGGCCGTGGGCCCCGGCCTGGTGGGTGAAAATCAAAAGGAAGAGATGGAGTTTCCCTTGTTGCTTTTCTTTTTTGCCAAATGAATAATGATCAAGGCTGGTGTTTGCTAATTGTTTGTCTTTTTCAGAAACGCCAGATTGCTGAATATTAAATTATTAAAACTACGCTACATCTGTACATACTACCCGAGGCGGTAGTAATGATCAGGGGACGGTAAGAAAGAATGCTCCAGTACAATATTTGATCAGCGTTGGGATTTCAGTGACGAAGATCTGACTATTTGCCATTTGTCGCTGCTTTGTGTAACCGAACCTCTTTGACTGTGATTGGGATTAGAGAAATCAGAATCCTCCATTCACCGGCGTGAACCCAGAAAAATCTGGTGGCGGGAAAGACGAAACAAATTAGAGCGAGACAGAAATTGGAGATAGCGTGGCGCGTGCACGGACGTTAGTGGGAGGAAGAAAGACGGACAGTTGCGTATAATTCCTGTAGTTGAATTACTGCTGCTAATTCGAGAAACGGAGATGAAACGTTTTGCAGATTGTTGGTCCCCGGCCACTAAAATTCAGACACCACGAATATTTCCAGCCTTGTGAAACATGTGACCCGATATGCTTTGTCGTCCAAGTTGATATTATTGAAAATCCTTCAACGCACGCCACAAAGTAACACTTGTTCGGAAGCTCTCCCATTCCATTCTCGTTCTTTTTCCTCGTCTTCTTTTATTAACTACTAGATTAATATTTTAACGGTTGAGATTTAAATTTTTTTTAAATTATTATTAAAACATTACATTATAAAAATTAATAAATAATAAATTATAAACTCTACTAAAATTTAATGGTTGCAAATATACTAAATATTTTTAAAAACTATTTATAAATAGTCTATAAAAATTAAAATCTCAATCATTAAAATATATTAATTTAATTATTAAAAAAGAAAAGAAGGGAAAAGGATAAAAAGAGAAGAAAAGAGGATCGAGCCAAAGACCAAGTTAGTTCACTCCATATTTGACGGTGTCGATCTCCTCCTAGCCAAGGCGCACACGTCTAACTGATTTCGGTTGTCTGCCTCATCAATGTCGGGTGAAATTACCCATGCATCTCGTAAAAGAAGATTGATCATTGAGAGGTTTAAAAAAAATCATGTTTGCAATTCAAACTCTAATGTATTTACGAGTCAAATTTAACTCTATGTTTGTAATTCAAACATTCATTTTTTCCAGTAAAACTTGCAAATATTCAATTCAGTGGAGATTTTAGTAAAACTTGCAAATATTCAATTCCGTGGAGATTTTTTCTATGTTTAGTTTTTTAATTATCTGGGACCTATAAATAAATTTTCCTTCACGTTTATTTTAGTGTGAGATTGAGGCATAGTTTGGATCTATTTATTTAGGTACTTATAAAGCATGTTTCATGTAAGCCAATATATAACTTTATTTACATATTAACCTCATATTTTATAAATCACGATTAAAAAATTATTTATAAACAATTCCAAACAAGTTTGATCACACTCCAAACTCTGGGAGGAAGTCAAAAAACTCCCGACGTGATTTCTTTCCAGTACATAAAACTTGAAATCAATATATTTGCTCAAATATGTTGAGTTTTTTTGTGTCCCAACTCTGTCTTATTTAATTTATAGTGACCAATTTATTTGTTTATTTATTTTTCGAGTTACGTGGCCACGGCTTAAGCCGTGCATACACAGCGAGAGCAACCGGTTTAATTTTTAGTCGGATGTGTAATTAGTAGTGGCTCCTGATTTTTTGAACGAAGTCATGAAAATAATGTGTGTAATGATCTATCACGGTTCCTTTCGTCACATTTTAAATATATGGTTAATTTAGACAAGAGATGTTCCACTTTGCTCGCTTAAAAATTAATATTGCATGTGAACGAACCAATCTCAAATCGAGTGTCAGCTTTTCGGCCCATGATTTAAGATATTTATGGGTCAACCTTTCCATCGATGAGTTTATAGCTAGTGTTTTAGGACCCCAAGACTCCAATTACCTCTTTAAATTATTTAAACACACGACTCATAGCCTAATAGTTTAATTAATCATGCCAAATGAACTCCCACAATTGAATTCTTCACCAACTCAACTCAATTCAATTGAATAGATCTTATCGGGTTTTCACACATTTCGAAAATTTTAAATTAATCCATGATTAATGAGAAGATCACAATATGAAATAAACAGCACAATACTCCATCTGTTTCTTATTATAAAATCAATATTTTTAATAGATTTGTTCTTTTTTATAAGATTCTTTTTGAGTTTGTCTGAGCATTTAATGCAGTATTAAGTATCTTATTCCTAATTTAATATATTTAATACATTTTTTATTTATTTAACTATTACTTTCTCACATTTATCCATTTATGTATATGGGTATATTTGGGAAAAAAAACTACATTTGTTACATACTACCTCCGACCCTTAATATAAGACTTTGTTTGACTTTTATTTTGATCATAAATATAAGATCTCAATCCACACTGTCTCTCATATTTATACGTTTTTTTCCAAAATAATCATTCTAACAATAGTAGTTTTAGATAACAAACTTGATTAGTAAAGATATTTTAGAAAAAACAATACTTATTTATTACAAATAACTAACTTAATTAAGTTCCTTAATCTCTCTAAATTTGTTAACTGGGTCTTATAATTATGACTGGAAGTAGTATTAATCATTTTTAACTAATTTTAACTGTTTTTTAAATTGTATAATTTGGTTAAAAGAATACTATGACAAGCGACGGAGAGTAGTAAGTGAGAGCCAAATTTTCCTACAAGCCTCGCACTAATCAGAACTGATTAAGTGCGGCCCAGCTGGTTGATATATAATTAAAATACCAATTAAAACAAAAGGCACCTACCAGGCCATGTACAAAATGATCGGGCCGGGTGAGAAGAAGGGCAAGGTTCACGCACGCAGAAAATGGCTTAATAGTTTAATCTTTGACCTTATCTAGAATAATCCAAATCCAACGAAAGTGATGACGTTAGCCAACTCTGACAGCGAGCTGAAAATTCCAAACACCCACTCATGACGCTTCGTGATCTTTGATTCCGGTTGAAGGGAAGCCCCACAAGGTGACAAATCTTCATGGAGTTGGCAGAGTCGTAGCTTGTTTTGAAGGGAACTCCCTCATTATACCATTTTTGAATTCAAAAGCCCAGTGACATGCACCGAACTGTCAAAAAACCACAATCACACACACACACACAGGCGCACACGTACATCTGATCTGTTTCCATTTTTTTAACCAAAGCCGTCGTATTTTTGTTGAGATGGTGTTGTCGCGCACAAAAGAGGCTTTTCTATTTGATGGAATATTTAATTTGTATAGAGTTGGATCTTTTGGAATATGTAAGAAATTGAACGGTACTAGAAAACAAGAGACAGGTAACAGTAAGTTTGCTGGGAGGAATTAGCGCATGAGATGTAGGGAGTGGGGAGGTACTTTAGAGATGTGTAAAAACGAAGGCAAGTGATCGAGGAGATGCTGAGAACTGGGACAGTTGGAGAGGCCCAATCATAGGGTGTTCACGTGACAAATGGACCAAACCACATCTCCAACAAGTTATGTTGCACATGTTCCAGATTGCGATGAATACGCGGCTTGCTTTCCCTTTTCCCTCTTCCTAAACCCAACAAGTGTCCAGTGTACATGTTTTAAGTTTTTTTGTTGTTTTTACGCTGGTCATCTTTTAACAGTAGAGTCCCCTTTCCTTTACGTACTTCGCTTGCGGTTCGTATTTCGCTTGCTGGTTTGTGTATTTACGTTGGAGTCTTAAGTGCTCTGAACATGAGAATATAAAATTATTTAAAACGTACCAATATTAATTACTACCTCCGGTTTTTAATATAAGACCGTGTTTAATTTTTATTTTGGTTCTAAATATAAGACTTCAATCCATTTTGTTTATCATATTTATATATTTTTTTCAAATTAGCTCTTCTTGCAATAATAGTTCTAGTCCATATACTTGATTAGCAAGGATATTTTAGAAAAAGACAACACCTATTTAGAACAAATATCTAATTCAACTTACTTCTTTAATTTCTTCAAATTAATTAATTGATTCTTATAATTAAGACCGGAGGTAGTAATTGTGTGCAACTCAAAACCAATTTGAATGACGCCCTTACATCGCATTGTCTTCTGCGCTGAAAAGGACGGCACTTCCCCGTCCTGACAAAGCATACGATTTTATGCATACCGCGGTGAGCGGTGTGGATTTGGATAACCAAAAAAAAAAAAAAAATTCTAAAAAAAACCCTTAGAATATAGAAAATTTTAAAGTGGGTCATGAAATTTTGTAAATGATAGAAAGGGTTAATGACCCAATCTGTCATTTGTAAAATTAAGAATAATTGATATTTTGCTCTCGCTAAGCAAAAATGAGTAGTTATTCTCTAAACAAATATAGATAACGTTTACATTATTCTAATGATTATATGATTAACTGTAATTAACAATAAGGTACCTGACTACGAAAAGGTGAATAGTTATTCTCTACACGAATCTAGGT